GCACAGGTCAGAGTATTTTGGCGGTTGCCATCTTTAAACGGTCGTATTTTAACCCCTTAGCGACCGAGGACGGTTCAGGACCGTCATCGGCATTTTTGCCTTGAGGACCGATGACGGTCCTGAACCGTCCTAACGGTCTGGGGGTACTTACCTGATCGCCGTCGTTCCCCCGGCGGCGATCAGTGTTGCTCCGGTTGTGGGGAGACTGCCTGCAGCCCAGACAGTCTCCCCACACCGATTTAGGACCCCTGTGGCCATGTGATCGCTTAACACAGCGATCACATGGTCACAATAGGTGTCCATGTGTCTGCCTGCAGGGGGACTGCCTGTGCGGACAGGCAGTCTCCCTGCTAGTGTAAAATAAAAAAAAAAAATAAAGTTAGTGTTAATAAAAAAAAAATTAAAAAATTATATATGTGTATAAATATGATATATAGACATATATTATATCTATATAATATATGTCTATCTATCATATATATAATGTCATACTAAGTGTATTTTTATATTAAAATGTACTTATATTAATATAAAAATACACTTATAATTAAATTACGCACGTATATATATAATATATATAATAACTATATATATTGTATACAGGGAGTGCAGAATTATTAGGCAAGTTGTATTTTTGAGGATTAATTTTATTATTGAACAACAACCATGTTCTCAATGAACCCAAAAAACTCATTAATATCAAAGCTGAATATTTTTGGAAGTAGTTTTAGTTTGTTTTTAGTTTTAGCTATGTTAGGGGGATATCTGTGTGTGCAGGTGACTATTACTGTGCATAATTATTAGGCAACTTAACAAAAAACAAATATATACCCATTTCAATTATTTATTATTACCAGTGAAACCAATATAACATCTCAACATTCACAAATATACATTTCTGACATTCAAAAAACAAAAACAAAATCAGTGACCAATATAGCCACCTTTCTTTGCAAGGACACTCAAAAGCCTGCCATCCATGGATTCTGTCAGTGTTTTGATCTGTTTACCATCAACATTGTGTGCAGCAGCAACCACAGCCTCCCAGACACTGTTCAGAGAGGTGTACTGTTTTCCCTCCTTGTAAATCTCACATTTGATGATGGACCACAGGTTCTCAATGGGGTTCAGATCAGTGAACAAGGAGGCCATGTCATTAGATTTTCTTCTTTTATACCCTTTCTTGCCAGCCACGCTGTGGAGTACTTGGACGCGTGTGATGGAGCATTGTCCTGCATGAAAATCATGTTTCTCTTGAAGGATGCAGACTTCTTCCTGTACCACTGCTTGAAGAAGGTGTCTTCCAGGAACTTGCAGTAGGACTGGGAGTTGAGCTTGACTCCATCCTCAACCCGAAAAGGCCCCACAAGCTCATCTTTGATGATACCAGCCCAAAACCAGTACTCCACCTCCACCTTGCTGGCGTCTGAGTCGGACTGGAGCTCTCTGCCCTTTACCAATCCAGCCACGGGCCCATCCATCTGGCCCATCAAGACTCACTCTCATTTCATCAGTCCATAAACCTTAGAAAAATCAGTCTTGAGATATTTCTTGGCCCAGTCTTGACGCTTCAGCTTGTGTGTCTTGTTCAGTGGTGGTCGTCTTTCAGCCTTTCTTACCTTGGCCATGTCTCTGAGTATTGCACACCTTGTGCTTTTGGGCACTCCAGTGATGTTGCAGCTCTTAAATATGGCCAAACTGGTGGCAAGTGGCATTGTGGCAGCTGCACGCTTGACTTTTCTCAGTTCATGGGCAGTTATTTTGCCCCTTGGTTTTTCCACACGCTTCTTGCGACCCTGTTGACTATTTTGAATGAAACACTTGATTGTTCGATGATCACGCTTCAGAAGCTTTGCAATTTTAAGAGTGCTGCATCCCTCCGCAAGATATCTCACTATTTTTGACTTTTCTGAGCCTGTCAAGTCCTTCTTTGACCCATTTTGCCAAAGGAAAGGAAGTTGCCTAATAATTATGCACACATGATATAGGGTGTTGATGTCATTAGACCACACCCCTTCTCATTACAGAGATGCACATCACCTAATATGCTTAATTGGTAGAAGGCTTTCGAGCCTATACAGCTTGGAGTAAGACAACATGCATAAAGAGGATGATGTGGTCAAAATACTCATTTGCCTAATAATTCTGCACTCCCTGTATATATATTATTATAAAATATAAATAATAAGTAATTTAAATTAAATAAAAATTTTTTTAAATAATAATAAAAAAATTAAAAAAAATTATATCTATATGAAATTTTATTCTAACTGTATTTTAAAATTAATATGTATATATTTATATCAAAATACACTTAGAATGAATTTGTATATATATCTATGTATATAAAAATAAATAAAAATAATAAGAAATATACATATGTCCATATACAAAATTATATAAATAATTATATAAATATACACGTAGACTTCAAATATATAAATATGCATATATATTTAAATTCTACGTGCGTATTTATGTAATATTTTTACATAATTCTGTAATTTTATTGATTGCAATTTGAGGAACCTCAACCCAGGCCGAAATTCCAGAGAATTGAATTTGCTAGCACTGTATTTTACCCTGTAACGTTCTATGACACCCTAAAACCTGTACATGGGGGGTACTGTTTTACTCGGGAGACTTCGCTGAACACAAATATTAGTGATTCAAAACAGTAAAACATATCACAGCGATGATATTGTCAGTGAAAGTGACTTTTTTTGCATAATTGTTGTGATACGTTTTCCAGTTTTTAAACACTAATATTTGTGTTCAGCGAAGTCTCCTGAGTAAAACAGTACCCCCCATGTACAGGTTTTATAGCATTTTTGAACGTTACAAGGTCAAATATATGGGTCAAATATTTTTACATTGAAAATGGCCAGGTTGGTTACGTTGCCTTTGAGAGCTTATGGTAGCCCAGGAATGAGAATTACCCCCATGATGGCATACCATTTGCAAAAGAAGACAACCCAAGGTATTGCAAATGGGGTATGTCCAGTCTTTTTTAGTAACCACTTAGTCACAAACACTGGCCAAAATTAGCGTTCAATTTAGTTTTTACTTTTTTCACACACAAACAAATATGAATGCTTACTTTGGCCAGTGTTTTCGACTAAGTGGCTACTAAAAAAGACTGGACATACCCCATATTGAATACCCTGGGTTGTCTACTTTAAAAAAAATATGTACATGTGGGGTGTTATTCAGAGATTTATGACAGATAATAGTGTTACAATGTCACTATTGATAAATTTAAAAAATTTATGTTTTGAAACCGCAATATTCTACTTGTACCTATAGCCCTATAACATGCAAAAAAAGCAAAAAAGCATGTAAACACGGGGTATTTTTAAACTCAGGACAAAATTTTGAATCTATTTAGCAGTTTTTTAATTCGCTTTTGTAGATGAGTAAAAGATTTTTCAAGTAAAAGTCAAAAAACATGTATTTTTTTCAATTTTTCATCATATTTTTTTATTTTTTTAAAATTAAAATACATGAGATTATATAAATAATGGTATGTAAAGAAAGCCCCTTTTGTCCTGAAAAAACAATATATAATTTGTATGGGAACAGTAAATGAGAGAGCGGAAAATTCCAGCCAAACACAAACACCACAAAAGTGTAAAAATATGCCTGGTCGCAAATGTACAACATCGCAAAAAAGGTCCAGTCCTTAAGGGGTTAAAAACTATAAATCCTACAGCGAAGAGCTTCATATTGTGAGAATCACAAGACACAGCCCTACATTTTAATGCATAGTATGTCACTAAAATATTAAAAATGAAGGCACAGTCGCAGTTTAGAAATTGCCCTTCAAATTTGAGCTGGCTAGAGTGGAGTTTCAATGAATGTCAATGGATGGCATGAGTTGCAAACAAATGGTCATATTGTGAAAACTATCAGGACTATGGCTTATCCGTGGACATTTTAAGTGGCAGCAGGGATAGCTGAATGTTTTGATATAAGATTTGTGTAGGTGGGCTTGAAAATGAGGGATTGGTGGCAGTTTAGAAATCATGTCCTGATTTTTCAGCTTTTGCCAGCTCCCACTCTAGTTTTGAATATTTTGCCATTCATTCCTATGGGACCAATTTCACCACAAGAACGACGATATTCCGTGAACCATTCAGCGAATCATTCCACAAAGTAATAGCAATCCAATCGGGAACAATCTGCACGTTTTGGTATAATACTGTCTATGTAGTGTAAAAACTGTGGGAGGAGTTAGGGTGGTATATTTGGCTATAATAAGAATAAGAATAATATATATGTGAGATAACATTAAGTGGTCTTGCTATGCAAGAACACTTAACTAGAAAAGCTACAATTTCTGGGGTGTTCTTGCCATTATGTGAGTTAACATCAAGTGGTCTTGCTATGCAAGAACACTTAATAACACTGGAACAATTTTCCAAGTTCAGTTATTTTCAGTTTTGTAATTTTAGCCTAAATTTGGAAATTCATTAGCAGACTAATTTACTTAACTCCAATTGTTCCTGAATTAAAAACGAAGAGAAAAACTGAGGCAAAGTGGCTATGGCTGTGCTGAAGAAGCTCCTTCCCATACATACACAATAACTGTCCTACACACTGTTCCATAATATACATAGATATACACTATGCCCACACTCTCACAAATACACTCTTTACTATCAGTGTGTTTATTTTTTTTGTCATTGTGAGAGCTGGGGTGGATTCCTCCCCCGGGTTCAGTGGGAGCTGAGATGATACCAGGAGCGATGTCATACCCAGGCATCAATTTAGAGCTGGGCAGGGGCAGTACATTTGGGCAGAGTGGGCACCTGTCGCCATGGTAACCAGGTTCCTATACTGCCCTAGCTCAGAGCAGTTACTGCTCCCGCCTCTCCCATGTCTCCCATGCAGTCAGACGGTGCGGGTTATAAGAGCTACATCTAGAACCAAGGGAAGTGTAGACTTGAAAAGACTCTGCAGTGTTGGCTGGGGACCGATGCATGCCGGGAGATGTGGTTTTTCACTCTGTGCTCTATTGGCGCGCGTGTTCGCGGGTCTGCTTTTCTGTGGACTAACTATCCCGGCATGCATTGCGCCACGCCGTTGCCAGGAATCGAGATGCTAATGGCCGCTGAGATTGGAGGTGTTGAGTAGCCAAAGGTAATGGCAGAGATTGTGTCCGCGCACTGTGCTCTCATAGCCCTGATGTTACCTGCTGAGGGGAGGAAACCGAGCATTATGGGAAGTGTAGTCCGGGCCAGCTGCAGTTCTATGTAACTGTCCATTCCAATGCAGGTTGTGGTATTGGACACATAGTGTTTACTTAACATTCTGTACCTTGTTCTATAAAGAATGTTCCATGTCCTTAGAATCTAATACAGTATGTATATTGATTCTATCTGAAGCCAGGGTGGGGGCATGATACAGACATACCTGCTCCTCTTCTGAAACCCCTGCAATATATCTGAGTTTAGCATTTTAATGCCAAATTGTAAGACATATAAAAATCCAACCAGTGGTAACTTACTGGTTAATTATTTACATAGCATGAATCACCCCCTATATTGTGCATCATGTTACTGACTGCTGGCATGGCTGGCATTGGCATATGTATAAGTAGTTGGCATGGAGCTCTGTGTGACTGCACATGGATACTAACTTCTCTCACCCTATTTGCAGGCCATCATTTGAGACCAATTAGACGTTTTTGTCATTGTGCAAGTTAATCCATTACCTTGAATAGAGCTGCTATTGTCCAAGTTAAAGCCTAATTACATGCGCCACTGTACACTGATAGGCATTACACTTTGCATTGAAACAATTATTAACAGAGGAGCAGCTAGCCAAAAATCTGGACTGTACTGCAAGTTCACAGTTTTATCTGTGCTTACTCGAAGTCCCAGGAAAAAACACAAGTAACTTACATTGCAAGTTAAAATATATATGTAAAAAGGCATTTCCTAGTCTCCTTCAAAACCAAAATTCAAAACCAAATTTGAAACTGTATACCCAAATAGCTGCATAGAAATTATTTATCAAATGAATCTATTCAACTTTAAAGTGGCACGGTCATCCCTGCCCCCAACCACCCCTTGCAAAATGAGTGTTTCATACAGATAAAATCTTTATGAAATACCTTTATTAACTGTGTTGGAATTTCACTAAAATTCCAGCCTAATCAAAATATATACAAGCATACCCCGCTTTATACACTCGCGAGTACAGACATTCCTGCGCCTCTTCTGTTTGCGAGTGAACAGGAAATGGAAGGTTCTATTCTCGCCCGGAGCAGCTCAGTTCAGTGTCTTTGGGGCAATAACTTTTCACACCTTCTGATATGGCACAGGTTAATCATCTCAAATTTATAATGTCTACTCCTAGCTGCACATATATTTTTTTTCTGCCCATACATTGTCCATATTCTGCAATCGGCTGCCATCCAGCGAAAGGGTTTACCCTGCCATTTTCTATAACTATGACTTAGCAGCTTAGCTGCATTAGCCACAATTCTGAAGATTCAAAGTTAAACCATAAATGCTTAAAGTGATGAAGAGGGGTTTCTAAACAAAGTCTGTGAATAAGCTGCTAACAAATACAAATTGGCACTGTATTGACAGAAAATTGCCCAGTGGGCAGGTTTATTTTACTTTTACTCCCAGTTTAAGGTTGTCAGATGAGTAAAACATTAAAGATAAATGGTACAATCTGGAATGAGATTTTTTTTTTTTTTCACTGGAGACCACTAAAGCACACCATAGTGGTTAAGGTGGTTGAAGTGTTCCTTTAATTTGTATTCGTGGTTGTTCATTTGTATGTAAGGCCACATAATGTTCCTTCTTATGTATTCCTTTGTTCACACTTCTACCAGTACATCCTGCTGACTTTAAAAAGTTGCAATTTGAGGGGTTCATTCACAAAACTACAAATTATAGGAAACCGTATTCTAAATTATAAAACTGTGGCAAAAATAGCAGATTTGGAAACATTCTCTAATTCCAGTATAGTCTCCTAATATGCATTTTTTACTCATTTTATTTTTTAATCTTCTTTTTTCTTGCCAGCTTTTGGAATGCGGATTATGTTTTCCAGAAAAAAACAAACTGCTTGACCACTAGGATTGTTTTATGCTCTTGCAATGTTTGTGCTGGTCATTTTCTCACTTCTCACCAATAGAGCGTGTTGCTGAGCAGAATGGAATATCTCCGAACTGAAAAAGATCATGGTCAGAATGGAGAAAGCTGCCATATGTTTCCTGTGGCTCTAACCATCTATTGACAAGTGTGCATCGCAAAATCTAACCATGGACAGTAAGGTATGCTGCATCCACAGCCAATGAGGGAGAAATTAGCCTTGATCATTACTGCTTGCTTCTTTTGTTTTATAGTAACATAGAATCTGCTGTTGTGGTCAGATCTAGCATCTGTTACCAGTGTGTCTAAGAGGTATGGTATGAACAGAATCCTTCACTGGATAGCATTCCTACCATAGTGATGTTCCCTATTAAAACAGAACTGTTGCTAATAAATGCAATAGTCTATATTTAAGCAACACTCTAAGGTTAAAAATAAATATATGGATTTTTAGCTTAGGGCATTCCTTTATTGCTTTAGATTATGGGCTCACTCTTATAAAATTATGCTAATAAACTGTAATCCAGCAGCAGGACGGTCTCTTCCTCTTAGATCCTCTTATATCAGCATCATTGATTATTATTTAATTATTCTACTTTATAAAGTGCCTTCACATTCCCCAGCTTTGTCCTTGGGTACTATGGTAAAAGTAAAAAGACACAGTAACATATAACTTGGAGACAATACATTTGACAAAGGAATACAGGACTAAACAGGGGCCCTATTCATCTGGGGCTTTCAATCTTTTTCAAGATCTTGATGATCAAAGACCAATACAATGCTTCTCTTAGAGACGCTTTGAGGACCTACAGTGCTCATTGCTCTTCACCAGTCCAGTGCTACTCGTAGAGAAACATTAGATGCATTTAGTGGTGTTGCTATGCGGTGTCTTGCAATTGGTTATGGTTTTAAAAGGACACTCTAGGCACTATACATTTCTCTTACTATCTCATTGAAGGAGTTATTGTGCCTGGTGTTCTCTAGCACCATCCCTCCATTCAATGTTAAACTATTTTTTGGTTCAACACTGAATAAGTTTTCCTTGCTGCGCACTCCCTGGGCCCATGTTCTGCATAAGCAGCCTTGCCATACCTCCAGTGGGGACCGGGCTACAAGAGATTCATGGGCCCTTAGTCAACCTTAAACTGTTCAGATCTAGTGTACACTCAATGGAGAGACCTTGCCAGTGACTTCAGCCACTACAATCACTTCAATGAGATTAAATGGTTCTAGTGCTGATAGTGTCCCTTTAATCCCTTGAGGACCAAACTTATGGAATAAAAGGGAATCGTGACATGTCACACATGTCATGTGTCCTTAAGGGGTTAAGGAGGAAGTGCCTCTAGTGACTATCAGTCTGATAGCCGTCAGAGGAGTGTTCTCTAACAAACGTAAACATTGCATTTCATGTTGCCAGAGAAACAGAACAGCAAGTGGACAGTAAAGTCATTAAAGCGGCTCTGTCACCTCCTGGAGTTTTTGCATAATGGTAAAATTTTAGCTTGGTTTCAGTGCTGTTGCTTTGGGGTTCAGTGGAAGGTGAGTTTTACTTACGTGAGCCTGTCCCTCACAGCTCTGCCATAGTCTTCCTGCTGGTCATCTTCAGCTCCTGGAGCTTCATCTACAAGGAGCCCACTCGTGCACACGCCTGAGAGTTTAGAACTGAGATCTATGGAGGATCCACCGGAGCCTCCATAGATATTGTTTTGGGATGAGTGACAGAATGGCCTATACCCCTAGTCGTTGCTGCTGATGGTTGGGGTAACTGGCAAAAGTTGACAAATGTATGGATGCTTCTGGTCATGTGGAGGAAAGTCCCTACTTTGCTTTGTGTTTTAAGAGAAATGTATTGAAAGAAAAGAACAGATTAAGAGTAAGGAATAAAAGAGGAACATATAGAAGTAAGGTAAGTATATGGTACAGAACTGTTTTAAGAATATTTCAATTAAATGTGTGACAGATAAAACTGTATGCAGCCAGTCTGTCATATGTAAAAGATGAAATGAACTTGATGTTTTTTTGTAACCTAAAGCAGCACTGTCACTTGTGATGGTTTTCATTAAAATAGAATCTTTATGATAAACTCTGCTTGGGGATAAAAACATGGGAACATAGGGTTATTGCACAAAATAAATAAAAATAAGTTAAAGTTAAGTTAAAGATTTTATGTACTAGATGCTAGAGCTGCTCCCTTCTCCAACACTATAGAAATCAATACTTAAAATCTGCCAAAATTTTTTTCAAATATGACCACTTCAGAGGGTGGACATGCATGTCCCTAGTGGTATTAATACTGTGGCATTGATCCTGGAGGGAAGAGCAGTAACTTCAACTAAGCATAACTTTTAAAACTGTAAATTTGCTGGCCTTTTTACCTATTATAGATTTCATTTTTTTAATGTTTATTACCAAACACTGACCTTTTATTCATACTGTTCATAGTTGATGAAATGCCCATTTTAATCCATCTCTGCTGAAAACATGCCTCTCCCACATTGCAGCACATTTAGTATGGCAACATGCTTTTTAACGTGAAATCCTCTTTTCAGGTAGCAAATGGCACTGTGCTGAACACTGATGTGTCCGAAGTAAATACTGATTTCCTTCCAGCTCTGAAATCACTTCCAGTAAGTACTGGTTGGTAATTGTAACTGTGTATGAGCTGAGCAAAGTTACTTTTGATGTGTTCACTTCTTTGTTCTTAAAGGACCACTATAGTGCCAGGAAAACATACTCGTTTTCCTGGCACTATAGTGCCCTGAGGGTGCCCCCGCCCGGCTCTGGAAAGGGGAAAAGGGGTTAAACTTACCTTTTTCCAGCGCTGGGCGGGGAGCTCTCCTCCTCCGATCCTCCTCCGCTCCTCCTCCTGGCTGAATGCGCACGCGGCAAGAGCCGCGCGATTCAGCGGTCATAGGAAAGCATTCATAATGCTTTCCTATGGACGCTTGCGTGCTCTCACCGTGAAAATCACAGTGAGAAGCACGCAAGCGCCTCTAGTGGCTGTCAATGAGACAGCCACTAGAGGATTAGGGGGAAGGCTTAACCCATTCATAAACATAGCAGTTTCTCTGAAACTGCTATGTTTATGAAAAAATGGGTTAACCCAAGCTGGACCAGGCACCCAGACCACTTCATTAAGCTGAAGTGGTCTGGGTGCCTAGAGTGGTCCTTTAACTACCTTCTGACACCCACTGCTAATCATCAGCTATTATAGTGCTCATTATCTCAATGCATTACATGTTATTTTTACTATGTTTCTTCATGAACACTATTCCCATGGCCTGGTCATTTGGCCAATAACTACATTGTGCATTGGGTATCCATTAAAGGGACACTATAGGCACCCAGACCACTTTAGCTCATTGAAGTGGTCTGGGTGCAGTGCCCCTGCCAGTTTAACCCAACAATTGTAATTATTGCAGTTATTCATAAAGTGCAATAATTAACTTGCAGGGTTAACTCCACCTCTACCGGCTGTCTACTAGGCAGCCACTAGAGGGACTTCCAGGTTGTTAGGCGACTTTTGGTAGCTTTACTGACACTGGACAACCTCACGCTCTGCATGAGGTCATCCAGGGTCAGCTAAAACCCCCTTAGTAGTAGTGATTTAATGCTTTCTTATGGAGTAGTCCTAATGCAATTGAGGTGCATTAGGCCCCCCCTTTCGGCTGACGTCGGTGGAGCGTGACCCAGCACTTAAGGACATGGGAACTGGAATCAGATAAGTGACAGTGACAAAAGTTTTTTTTTTTTTTTTTTTACTCTTTCAATGCAGCAGGTGGGGGTGTGAGGGAAGGGGCACTATTAAGTATTATAGTGCCAGAAATACAACTTTGTATTTCTAGAACTATAGTTGTGCCATTACCCCAAATTCATGTTGCTTCCTCCCTACCAGCTTTTGAACACCATACTCTATTTTTGCTTATTACTTATAAAGGGTACTTTCTGGTCGCTTTAGTGACATAAGAAGCTGACCATCACCCATCTATTATGTTTCTTATAACACATTTAGTGCTTCTTTTCTGTTTGCTGCTACAAACATTGCCTTATTGTTGCTTTCTGCCTCTGTAAGTGGTGCCTACACACTATTCACAAAATTCCAGGAATGTTTCCCATAATTGCAGTTCAGATATTTTCAGGGCTTTTCTTGCTGTCACTCAGACACTAGAGGAACTTACTGGGTTTGAACTTGCTCCCCATAGAGATACATTGAATCAAAGCAGCTCTAAGACAGGATGCTGGTTGGTGGTGCATTAGACTCCCAGTGTTTACCTAAGGGATAGCATTGGGTTAGCTGAGCTCATCAAGATTGCGGATCTTAGGCAAAGCTGCAGCAAGGAGACCAGTGCAACAGAGGATTTAAAGTAAGTAAATAGCCTTTTTTAATGCAAGTGGGGGCAATAATCTAAATAGTGACTAAAGCAATGTAACGTTAGGAATATAAACATGTACTACTAACACTATAGTGTTTCTTTAAAACTTAAATGAAATAAAACAAGCATGATATCTTAAATGTTATTTCTGTATCTTTCAGATTTCATCTGTGAAGCAAAACAGTGTCTTACAGTCCCTGGTGAGCAGGGGAGAGGAGGCTGAACGAGAATATGGTATGTCCACTCTCATTAGTGAGCACTGTGATTATTAAAAAAATCTTTCTTGCGTTAACATCAAATCCAGACACGTGTTGCAATTTGCACAGAAATCCCAGATAGGTGCAAAACCTTTTTTAAAAATATATATATATATATATATATACTTTTTTTATTTGTATTTTTGCAGTGCATAAGGGTACAGACATGCTTGAGGTGCCCCAGCAGCAGTCCGCAAGCTAATCATCTATTATTACAGTTGGACACATTAGATAACTTGCTAAATTTTATATTATCTCTTTCATCGTCTACGTCTGAGCTTTGTCGGAATATCCTTAGGAGCTTTGCTAAGATATGTGCGTAATATCGCTCTTAATAACCTCAGATAAGATAGTAGATTATATAGCACGGTACCATTGCCCTGAGCAGTAGCTATGTATCAATTAATAAAGAGAAGGAACTAGGAGTAAACAGAGAAAATCATATGAAAGACATGGAAGGCATAAGGTAACTTGTAAAGTATCACTAGCTAATGGTTGGCGGTTTATAACTCCGCTGCTTTGCTCTCATGGCAGAAGGCTTATGTAGCAGTCCCCCTTCTCACTTAACCTACTCCTGTTCTTAGTGTGCTGGCCATGCCATCCTTCGAATTCTCCTTGCCTGCACGGGGATCTCTCCAGCCTCAGGTCTGTTCGAGGGCCGTCATCTGTGTACCACAGACCTGGTTTCTGTAATAAGCCAAGACTATTCCCAGCAGGGAGCAGACAGAGGATTCAGATGTCTTCCGACGTGTGTCACGGGCAATCTTCCGACCTTGTGATTGATGCAGGGTAAATATGCCCCTTGTGGCTCTCAGCCTGGGAAGGCAGGTCTCGTGGGTGTCCTCGCTGGGATTCCGCCTTGAGTAGGTCCCCTCACTGGCAGTCGCTTGGGTCTCCCTTGCTTTTGTTAGCCTCAGTGGCTTGGACGTGGTGCTTCAGTCTGCTCCAGAAATGCTTAAATATGGCATCCAGCCTCCTTAGGGAATCTGCCACGTGGTCGCGGGTGGCTGCCTGCATTGCACTCTGTGTTCAGTTGCAGGAGCGCAGCAGCTGCAATCTTGCAGGGTCGGGGTTCCTGCACAGCGATCTCATCAGAGTGGCAAGTGCCCGTGTTAGTCGTTCTCGTGAGTTCTGAGGGGACCAGGATGACCCCTGGTCTCATGTAGCTTACCGGGGGTTAAGAATGCCGCGGAGTCAAGCCCTAGGTTTAAGCGCGGGTGGATCGGCCTCGTCCCAGGTAGGCCGCAGCAGGGCTCTCCGTGTGAGTGAGTGCTGGAATAAGTTAGCAATTAGCTAGCCCGGGGTCCCCTGACACCCTCAGTATGTGAATGATGGATGTGGGAGCCTCAAAATCAGGTGAAATACCCCAAATACAGGCATTTAATGCAGGAGCTCTGGCTTCCCACGTCTAGTCGGCTTGGAGGTCAGGCTCTGCCACCCCGCAAAAACTTGTGTATGCCAAGATCTCTTTAGGGTTCTTATAATTAGCCAGTATGCAAGGTGAAAAATCTAATTGCCATTTTGGTTTAAAGAAGAAATATTTTTCACGTCTTTGAAGCAGTAATGGGAGTTTCTTAAATTGAGGTTTTTGGGATCCTTCTTTTGGATCAATAGCTGTAGCAAATGACTTGGTTGTTTTCTTTTTTTTATCTTCACAACCTCTAACTATGTAACCTTTAAATGAATGCACTAAGCCACAGGCATTTTGATTCAGTTGTGTTTTTTTTTTTTTTTTTTCTTAGTGAAATTTTGTTTTAGTTTTTTTTTTTTAATTACCTGTGCTCTGCCTGGAATCCATGGCCCACTCCCTCTTTAGCCTCACTGATAATAGGTAAACTATACTTCTACATTATCATGCAAAATTCCATCCAGTCATTAATTGACCATCAAATGGCAGCAATTAGTGTGTCCAAAGGCGGCAAGGCCTGAAGTTTCAGAAATTATATACAGTTTTGACTTTTTTTTTTTTTTTTTTGTAAATATCATTTTTATTTCGGTTTGTATTGTTAAACAGTAATTCACTTTGAGATTCGCAGATCTCCACAAGCCTGTTAGGTATAATATCCAAAGCACAACACGTGCAAATAGAATTTAAAACATGCATTAGTTCGGGCGCGCAGGCCCACAGTAGTGGCAGACTCTCAAGTCACGGTCAGTATATAATTATCTTCCCTGGACTGGTGTTTCATTTGTTTGATTACATTGTTACCTGTGTGTTTTGCTTATGCTTAACATTACATTGTTGCATTCAGGTCGCTATGTTCGTTGTAGCATGGTTAAGCCTTTGTTGTCTAGATTGTGGGGCCCTCGGGTCATTCTAGTACGTGTCATTGGTGGTCGTTATTGAACATAGTCTGCTGATGTTATTACGTCTTACAGGTTTCATTTACCTGGCAAGTGTCCGGGGCTCATGGTTGTACTAACTTAGTCAGTCCACTTTTGTCTTGTTTGCGGGCCTGCACCTCTCTGATGGGCGCGTATCTAATGCCTCGGGAATGGGGGGGTTAGGTATAGGTGTGGAAGGAGGGATTGGGTTAGTCTTCTGTCTTTGTCAGTCAGTTGTGTGTCCTCAGGTGGTCGGCCTTGTATTAGTGTCTGGAAGTCAGGTTTTGTAGTCGTCAGTATCCAGTGTGTCCATATGTCAAGGTATGTCTGTTGTTGCGGTCCAGCCGCATGCATGGTGAGTTCTTCTATGGCTCTTAGGTCCTCCATTTGGGTGAACCACGTGTGTATGGATGGGGTCTCTTTTTTTTCTTCCAGAACTGTGGGATAGTCTGTTTTGCTATGTTAAGAATCCGGATCGTGAGTGATTTTTTTTGTATTTGGATGTTGGGGTTTTTGTATGATGAAGTAGCATGGCTGCCGGTTCTAGTGGCGGTGGGTTGTCTGAGAATCGGGATAGTATTTTGTGGATAGTGTGCCAGAAGGTTTGTAATAGCTCGCATTCCCACCTTATGTGTATGTGTGTTCCTGGTGCCTTGTCACATCTCCAGCATAGGCGGGACTCATTTGCGTGTATGTGGTGTATCGTGGCAGGTGTACGATACCACTGTGTAAGCAATTTGTAGGCTGTCTCTTGGCTTTTGCTAAAAACGAAACAATGGTGTACGAAAGTGCATATTTTTTCCCATTCCTGGGTGCTGAATGTTTAGTTCAAGGTTTCCTCCCATTTTCCCATGAATTTTGGCACTTCCCACGGGGTCTGTGAGTGTAGGAGGGAGTATAGGTGTGACACTCTGTGTGGTAGCGGATCTGGGTCTGTGCACAGCCTTTCGAAGGCAGTGAGGTCTCTGCCAAGAGCCTCCCTTTGCGGGAGAAGTCTCATGTAGCTGCGAAGTTGTTCGTATCTAAATTGTGTTAGGAAAGGCCGGGGGGCCTCTCCACACATCTGTTAAGCCCTTCAGTCCTCGTCTGGTGCACACGTCTCAATCGTGGCAGTGGGTCTTCCACCAAGGTTCGGAGGGCCCGCGGGTCCATGCCCGGCGGAAAGTCTGTGTTGTAGGTGAGGGGCAACAGTGGGGATGGATACGTGGAAAGGGCGTGTCGTCCTATGCTTCTGCGCCACACCGTCAATGTCGCTTTGGTGTAAGCAGAGTAATGTCTTTTCCCCCCCCGTCCCCACTTGCGGGGAGCCACAGGAGAAGGGCGGCAGGGATACCCGCCTCCCTCGCCTCTGCCTTTTTCCAGAGCTTGGTGACCCCCGTTTTGGACCACTCGACAATGAGTTGTAGGTGACATGCTTTGTAGTATAGTGTAAAGTCTGGTAGGGCTAGGCCCCCTTTGTCCTTGGGTTTTGTGAGCAGTGAGAATTTCAGTCTGGGTCTCCTCCCATCCCACACGTAAGCCCCCAGTGCCCTTCTAAGTGTCGTGAAAAAGGAAGTTGGGATAACTATGGGTAGGGCCTGGAAAAGGTAGAGTAGTCTTGGTAAAAAATTCATCTTCACCACTTGCACTCTACCCAGCCAGGATATGTGAGGGAAGGCCCAGTCTCCCATTTCTTTCCGAAACTGGAGAAGTATCGGGCGAAGTTGGTCGTGTATAAGTTCGCTGCTTTTGCTGTTAGCCAGGTGCCTAGGTAGCGTATTTTATCTGTAGCCCATTGGAATGCATGACTCCGGTGAAGCTGGGCGGCCCTCTGCGTAGGTAGACTTATATTTAAAATATAGGATTTTGAGAAGTTGATTTTCAGACCCGATAGTGTTCCGAACTTCTGGAATGCCTGTACTAGGTTAGGTAAGGAGACCTCCTGGTGAGTTATAAAAAAACAGGTTGTCCGTATATGCGGCTATTTTGTGTTGTGTGTCTCCTGTGTTGACTCCCTGAATGTCCGGGTGGCATCTGATGGTATTCAGGAAGGGCTCCAGGGCTTGGACAAACAGTAATGGGGATAGGGGGCAGCCCTGGTGTGTGCCATTATAGATTGGGAAGGCCTCCGTAAGTGCCCCATTGACCAAAATGTGTGCCGTCGGCTGGGAATAAAGGGCTCTAATCCATCCCTGGAGGTGTGGACCCATGCCCATGTGAGCCAGCGTCCGGACCATGTATTCCCAGCAGACCCTGTCAAAGGCCTTCTCCGCGTCTGTGGACAGCAGGAGAAGGCCCGTGTCATCCCCTGTCTTCCTGTGCATGAGTGTGAGGGCTCGGATGGTATTATCTCTGGCCTCCCGGCCCATCACAAATCCCACCTGGTCCGCATGGACCAGCCTGGGTACGTGCGTCTGGAGTCTGGTCACCAGGACCTTTGCCAGCAGTTTAAGGTCGTTATTGATGAGGGATATAGGTCGATAGCTCCCGCAGTGCTCTCGATCTTTGCCTTCTTTAGGAATTATGGTGATATGTGCCGTCAGTGTCTGTCTGGGGATGTTGTGTCCCTCTCTGATTGCATTAAACATTGCTAGTAGTGGGGGGTATAGAGTGTCTGCATATCTCTTATAGCATTTAATGGGCAGACCGTCTGGGCCTGGGCTCCTCCCTGGTTTGGTGTTTTTAATTGCGAGTGCCAACTCCTCCGAGGTGACGGGTTCCTCTAACTGGTCTGCTACTTCCGTTGTTAGGGAGGGGAGTGTATGGGTCCTAAGATATTCGTCTATAGAGTTACGGAGCTTTTGGGCGTGTGTATCCGTTTGTGGCCTTGGTAAAGAATACAGCTCTGTGCAGTATGCCCGGATAATCTCCTGTATCTTAGTGGGTGTCTGTGCAGGACCCCTCCTTTGTCCCGTATGCGGTCAATGTACGTGTCTTGTCGTTTTTTTGTTGAGCATGCGCACCAGGAGTTTCCCACTCTTATTGCCATGTACGGCAAAAAATGCCTTATGGCGCAGTACTTCCCTATGGTGTAGAGAGTGTAGAAGTGTAGTCAGTTCCCTCCGTAAACAGTGTGTGGGGAGATGGAGTTGTTTGTTGAGGGCGTCCAGTTGTTGTATGTCTGTCAGTAATGTAGTCATACGCGCTTCCCTCTGTTTCTTCAGGTGTGTGCTCTTTTGGATAAAATGTCCCCTAATTACGCTTTTGTGTGCTTCCCGCCGTATGGTGGGGGAGGTCTGGTCACTATTGTTTGTAAAGTATTCTTTTAGTGTTGTTTCTATCTCTGTTGCCACCTCTGGCCTTGCAAGTAGTGCTTCATTTAATCTCCATTTGGAGACCTTTGGTTTGAATTGGGGGGATTTCAGTGTGATGATCACCGGTGCATGGTCTGACCATGTCGCGGTGCCCTGTTCGGCTCGAAGCACTAGCGGTAAGTGGTATTGTGACGTAAAGAGGTAGTCAATTCGGGTGTAAGAGTTATGTGGATGGGAGTAAAAGGTATAATCCTTCTCGTCGGGGTGCAGTGCCCTCCAGCAGTCCACCATTGTTGCCCTTGCCAGTAAGGTCCTGATTGCCGTGATGTGTTGTGCAGGGATGTGTGTGTGTCCTAGAGAGGAGTCCCATTTAGGGTCCAGAGCTACGTTCAGATCTCCCCCCAATACCAAAACGCCCTCTGTGAATCTCTTAAGGGTGCGAAGTATCCGGGCTATAAATTGATATTGCCTGCGGTTTGGGACACACATATTAGCAAAAGTGTATTGTGTGCCCGCTATCTCTCCCTTTAAGAAGGTGTAGCGTCCTTCCGGATCAGTCATCACTCCTGTCTCTTTAAACGGGATGCGTTTGTGAAGGCGGATCGCTGTGCCTCTGGACTTCCCTCCCTGAAAATCGCTGTAGTAGCCTACGGGATAGTGTTGGTTTGTCAGTGTGGGTCTGGACCCTTCTCTGAAGTATCTCTCCTGTAGAAACACTATGGATGCCTTATGGGTTAGGAATTCCCTCATGGCTCCCGATCGTTTTTCGGGCTTGTTTAGACCCCTGGTGTTGAGAGAGAGAGAATTGTGATAGGGGCCAGGGCAATTAACGTGGGTGGCATCGTTCCGTCGGTTGTGTGTGAATGCTGTTGTGTGTCCGTCAAGGTAGTCTAGGGTTGGGTTGGGGGGGGGGGGTTTAGGGAAGCGTGGGGTAACCGGGGGAGGGAAGGTTAAGGGCTGTATTTCACAGTCCCTGTATCGGTAAAGAATCGCTACGTGTAGCGATATCGGAGATGAGCGACAGAGGGCAGTAAGTCCCCCGCCCACCTGTGGGCGAGGGGGGTACCGCTCGCCTGAGTCTTGTCGCTCAATCCAGTAGGGCTGTCGAAGGAGTCCAAGAATTCCCAAGTGGGCAGAACCCAGGGAACTAAGTGTGCTCACAAATCGGTCGTTGCAGACCACTATGATCTCTCGGGGCTCCACCCAGTCAGGACCTTCCGTCTCCCAGCTTACGGCTCGATCTGTCCAGATTGTAGCAAGTGTTTCAACCTCACCAAATAACAACATTATTAACTTGAACATATTTGATAGCCATAACATAAACATTGTACAACTTTACCCTCATGTATCCGTTCTGTGTAGGTCGGTTACTGACCTGTCCCGCCTCCCCCCCCCTTCCTATACTCCCCCACCCCCCTTCCTCCCCCAACTCTGGAGGGCGATTCCTGGTCTGAGCCTGCCCCAGGGCTGTGCCGGTGGGTCCATTAATTGGAATAGCCATGGTTCCCATCCCCCCCCCCCCAACGGGATGTATGGAGTGGGTCCCTCCCAGAGGAGTCTGTAACCCCCTTAGAGCTTGCGTCCCCTCACCCCAAGTCTGTACCCCACCCTCCCGGACCCCACATTCCGTCAATACTTGCTGTGTGAAGAGGCAGGCTGAAGTCCAGACTGAGGCGGTGTGCCAGGGGTTCTTAGTAGTTCATAAAGTTCCAGGGCTTAATTGCCCACATTGTTCGGGGGCGGTGAGGAGGAGAGGGGAAAAAAAAAAAGTTTTGCAAGTCACCTTATGTCTACATAATCAGAATTCCTGTCTTGTAGCAGGAGTCGGCTTTTCGGTCTTCTATGTTTGAAGTGGTTGACGTGGGGGGGGGGGTCCGCGGTCCTCAGTTAGGTGTCCCTGCCAGCCTAATCGTTTGTGTGCGAGGGAGTCTCATCCTTTGGGGTCGGGGGCCTGTGCCTTGAGGCCTGGGACCAGTGATATAGAAGTTTAGCGGGTTTGACCATGTTATACCCTCAGGTATCAGGTTTAGCTCCCTTTGGACCGCCATGACGTCTTCTTCCCCTGTAACCATAAAGGGGCCGCTGGGTGTTGCAACTTGTAGGCCCGTGGGGAAGCACCAGCGGTACCTGATGTTGGCTGCTTGTAGTTGTCTCGTAAGGGGTCTCATCGCTCTCCTGTATGTCAGGGTTGCCGGGGAGAGATCCGGGAATAGCTGGACTTCTGCGCCTTCCATTAGGATTTTGTCTGTGCCCCTGGCCTTGCGGAGGATCTCCTCCTTCAGGGGGAAGCTCTCCAAGCAACAGACTATATCCCGAGCGGGGCCCTCCGGGGGTCCCTGAGGCCTCAGTGCTCGGTGCGCGCGCACAAAGCCTATGGGTGTCTGGATTGGCCGGACCAGTAGTTTGTTGAATAGTTCTAATAGTGTGTTCGGAATTGGTGTTTTTTTGTCCAGCTCTTCAGGCACTCCCCTTATGCGGATATTCTGTCTCCTGCCCCTGTTATCTAGATCCTCCATATGTAATGCCATTTGCTGTAATACCTTGGTGTGGTGTTGTAGTCTGTCTGTGTTCGCCGTCTGGGCGGCAGACATGTGATCACAGTCTGCTTCAAGTTGCACCACTTTCTGGCTGAGGCCTTGTATATCCTCTCGCAGTGCGTGGAGTTCTGTCGTTATGGAGGTACGTAATTCTGTGTTCGCCATCCTCAGATCTGCTTTCGTGGGTAGTTGTTTCAGGATTGAGACCAGTTCTGGCGTGGATGTAGGGGGGATTGTATGTGGCTGGTCCCCTTGCGGTGATCGCGGGCGAGATATGCCCGAGGTCGCGGAGTCACTTGAGGCCTGTTGGTCTAGGTCCGCCTGTGTCACCAGGTAGTTTTTCATGGAGGGGTTCGGGGTGCCTTTTGGGGTGTCCGCGGGTCGTTGGGCACACGATGTGCGGTGGGTCTTCCCCATTTTGGGCGTTAGGCTGTGCAGTCGGTGAGGTTTTGTGGTGAGCCTGCGGAGAGCTCGTGGATTAGGCTGCCATCTTCTCGGACATCCAAGCCACGCCCCCAGTTTTGACTTTTTTCACTGTTATTTATAGCACCAGGCTATCAGGTATTTGACATTTATTTTGTAATCTGTGAAGCGTTCTTTCAAGTACTGTATATGAGCTGTAGCAGCTAAAACTAAATGAAATCCTAGTCATATAATGTACTTAAAAATTGGGAGAAAGGCATTAATCCATCTTGGGGAGATTCAGCTTTAGCTTTACTAATTATGCTCAAATTATTATCTAGGATGAAGCAAACCATTTTTCTCCCATTTGACTTATTTATTCTTATTAACTCTCTGTTAACTTCCTTCAGCAATCACTTAAAAATTCCCCCTGCTACCTCTCGTCTCAGAGCCCCATTATATTCTTTATACTATAAGCACACGGGCTATCTAACTAAGCACTTTGTATAAAAGAGCTTCAATGGTTAGATCTCCACTTATGGGCAGGGCCCTCGCTACCTTTTTGTATTTCTGTGTATGGTGTACGTTCTCCCCTAATTGTACAGCGCTGCGGAATCTGTTGGTGTTTTATAAATGTCAGTAATAAATAAACATCGTTATTCACTAAAGTTAATAGCCCTTTAAATAAGTTATACACTTAGGGTATCACAATAGGCTTTTGTATGTGCAGTGCAGGCTATTGTAATATCACTGTTTGTCTATGGAGTTTGTATTGCTGCCTGCTGGACTTTATACACCTGTTGGCAATGAATCTACACTTGTATTCACAGTAGCTCTGTATTTGCAGATAGCGAAGAATTGCTGAAAGCTGAACAGGAGTGGGAGGAGCTTGAAAACATACAAACAGGTTAGATGTCGCATATTTTAACCCCAATGCAGTCAAGAATGTATCTCAATTAGTGACTGATTAAGAACAGGTCAGATCTTGGGCAACACCGTCACAAAGGCACCCAATGTGTTAATGAAAAAGAATAAGCTAGCCCTCAATTGTTTTATTCCTGTTAATATGTGTGGGGTTTCTCCCGGACGTCTGCTTTTTGCCTGTGTATTGATTAGGCCACCCCCGCAAAATCCTATTTAAAAAAAAAAATAAAAAAAAATTATCCTATAAAAATATATATATATATCTCTTCAAAAAACCTTTAGTTGAACTTCCATCTCATTAATTCATGACAAATCTCACTAGGAAAATTAAAATTGACTCTCTTTCTGATCACTTTATCACACACACGTGCGCAGACATATATAGATAAACGTACATTCTCCCACAAACACAGAACTGCATCCTCAGTCCTCTGAACACCGAATCCGCAAATCAGCACAATTTGAGTCTTTGCTCAGTGAATGCGTAAAACTGTTCAACTTTACATTATCTAAAAGCATTTTATATTATGTTCACATTTTAGTATTTGTTATTAAAACACGTTTTATGGTTTGTTTTAGGACTCTTTTGTGAAAAACCAGGTAGGAACTCAACCGGTAAAACCGGTAACCTTACATTGACCTTGGAGTGCAGTTTGATTATATAGTAACGTGTATGTTTTGGGTTATATGTGTGGAAAGAGAAGAAATCTGATCTGAATATTAAAAAAAGCTTTTAATGCTGTATTTCATTAGATTAGAACAGTAACCGGTGCAGTGTTGTAACTGTGGCTAATGGTAGAGTGGTGGAACATATATGGAGGTGTAGAAACAGCAGTGTATGCGCTTGGTTTAGTAATACTAGACACTTGGCAGAGTATATGAGGAGGGCATTACTTTTGGTTTGTTGTGTGTAAGTTTCTGATAGAAGGTTGGAGAGGCTGGAGGAAGGCACAGTGCAATGATTTCATGAGTTTGGTTACCTGCTTCATCTTGACTTCTGAAATTTGTTTTCCTGTAGATTTTCCTATGGTAAATCTTTTGAACTGACCACCATTTACCACTGTTTAGGGCTACTGAGTGATCTCCCTGGACAAACACCATTAATCTCCTTTAACGAGGCGTTGCAATACTTCCAGACAGCAGATTTATCGGAATTTAGGGTATGTATTTAGGTACAAGCACTGTTAACACACCCAATTCAATGTTGATACCTTGGATTGCTTTATGAGATTCTAATTTTTCTCGGCACTGATTTATGATGTCACATTTAGGGCTGTGGAAAAATGTATATACATAGTTGCAGGAACTTCTAACCCATTTTGCCCAACTGTTACCTCTTTAAGTCTATGGTTCTTTTAAATTACTAGATGTGGACAAACATTAAGGTGATATTATTGCATAATATCATTAGTAAATAGACAAAGGTCATTTAAAATTCACCCTGGTAGCTTCTACAAGTAGAATGATAGTTTGTTTAAATGGACTAAAATGATGTACAATACCTTCTTTCATCTTCACGGTACTAAAATGGATTGTTTCATTATAAGCAAATATTCCTTTGATTTAATGTAAGAGGAAAAAACACTTCTTGCTGACAAATACCAGCTTCCACTGCTGAAATGTATTATTTAAAAATGGAGTTCCCACGGCCCTGCAGGATAAAATGAGGTTATATCTTGGACACAAATGAATGGTGCATTGGGATACGATGTGATTGCATGGTCAACAGTGAAATAACCCCCCCCACCCCTGATTCTCGTGCTGTCTCTGCAATTATGAGTAGTGCTTCATTATTCTTCAGCCTAACAACTCAATAGGAAGGGTATTGAGGGAGACAGCAAATAGACATGGTGGGAAAGTAGCAGAACTGGAGGTGAGAGTGGAGTGTGGCCCTTTAGGAGAGAGCAAGAGGAAGGTTTGAGAGATAGAAGTTACTCTTGGAGGCCATAAGCAATCCTGAAAAGATGGGTTTTGAGGGACTTCTTAAAGTATTAAAGACTAGGGGAGCGTCTGACAGGGGTAGGCAGGCTGTTCCAAAGGAAAGGAGCAGCCCGAGAGTAGTCTTGCAGGCGTGAATTTTCAGTAAGGGTGCGAGCAGCAGACAGGAAAAGGTCACCAGTAGAGCGGAGAGACCGAGAGGGGCATACCTATGAATCAGTGAAGAAATGTAAGAGGGACTAGAGTTGGTTAAGGTTTTATAGGTAAGGGTTTGTATTTTAAATTGAGACCTGTAGGGTACAGGAAGCCAGTGTAAGGATTGACAGAGGGGTGAGGTGTGAGAGGAGCGACGGGTATAAAAGATCAGCCTGGCAGCAGCATTCACTTCATTCGACGGGACATATTTTTGTAATAGTGACGATAAGTAGGTGGGAGCAGCATTGTGTAGAGATTTGTAATCAAGTATCAGCCTATTAAACTGAGTCCTATATCTTACGGGAAGCCAATGGAGGGACTGACAAAGGGGGAAGGCATGGGAGGTGCGGGCAGACAGGAAGATGAGCCTCGCCGCCACATTCATTACAGACTGTAACGGGGCAAGTTGGGAACACATAAGACCTCCTGTGAAGCGGATTACAGTAGTCAAGGTGAGAGAGGACAGCAGCATGGACAAGCACCTTTGCCGTATCAGGTGTTAAATAGGGTCGGATGCGCTCAATGTTTTTGAGATTGAAGTGGCAGAATATAGCGATTGATTGTACATGAGGGGTGAAGGAGAGGTCAGAGTCAAGGAGAACACATAGGCAGCGAGCCTTAGAGGTAGAGCGTATGGTAGCGCCATTGACTTGGAGGGCAAGGAAGTAGCAGCACTGGAGGGGGGGGAAGTCCAGAAGTTCTGTTTTGGAGAGGTTCAGTTTAAGGAAATGAGCAGCCATCCAATTGGAAATAGCAGAGAGGCAGTCAGAGACACGAGTCAAGAGGGGTGGTGAGAAATCAGGGGAGGACAGATACATTTGCGTGTCATCCGCATTGAAATGATACTGGGGGCCGAAGGAGCTGATGAGTTTACCAAGGGAGACCGTGTAGATTGAGAACAACGCAATACACTGAGTGAGCGCTGGGAGAGGTAGGAAGAGCACCAAGAGAGAGTATCTTGTAGACCGAGATTACAGAGGATGAGAAGAAGCTGTTGATCAACAGTGTTAAAAGCAGCAGGAAGGTCGAGGAGAATTGAGTAGGGGCCATGGGATTTAGCAGTGATAAGATCATTGTATACTTTGGTCACAGCTGTTTCAACAGAGTGACGAGCGTGGAATCCAGATTGAAGCGGGTCAAGCAGAGAGTTGGATTCGAGGAAGTCTGTCAATCTTGCAGACACAACTCGCTCAAGGATCTTGGAGACAAACAGCAGTAGCGAAATAGGGCGGTAGTTGGACGGGGAATTAGGGTCAAGGTTGGGCTTTTCCAGAATCGGGGTTACGGTTGCATGTTTGAAGGGTAGATGAAATGTGCCAGAGGAGAGGGAGAGATTGAAAATTTTAGTGAGACACAGAGCAAGAGAAGGAGACAAAGTGCGGATGAGATACGAAGGAATAGGATCAGCCGACTCTCTCAGCTAATTAAACTACATGGCCAGCATCCAGTTTCTGCAGAATCCAGATGTCATAAACCCTGCTTCAGTGCAGACCTGGTGCACAGTAACACCCAGGTAAAAGGGCAAACCATTGATAAAGTATTTGCCACATTACCAGAAAATGGAGCCGGGCTATCCTCCTATTATAACCACTGTAGCAGGCTATTGTGGTTATAATGCTTGGAATAACCCTTTAAAATAGTTGTTTTTTCATACATTTGGCCTTGTAACCTTGTAATGAAGTTGAGTAAGATTTAAAAAAAAAAAATTTATTCAACTGTTTAGAAACTATGCTCTACTGTGCTATTTTTATATTGTGAGTAATCTTGGGAAGTTCTGTCCATTCTCACCTTTTTAGGCAAAAGGTTTATATTTCATGAGTCCCTTTCATGCATACATGAGTTCTGTTTCTGCAATGTGTCCAAAGTTCTCTGTATTGATTCCTTGTGAACTGATATATGCAGCAAGTTTGTTGGGTGTGTTTATCCCCAGAATATTGAAAACTTATTATTTTGCTAAGGATTGTGAAACGGTTTGACAGAAAACGTTGTACTGTACATGCTGAAATTCATGTTCTTCGCACACTGCCTTTAAGAACGTGCTGACACATTGACTTCATTGACTATCTTCAGATAGAGTAATTTCTTGTTTTTAATAGGTGTGAAAAAGCACAACTACAAATAGGTTGTTCAGATCTATGGCATATGAAGTGAAAAAGTGAGATAAGCATATCTTGCTATGGGGGGGGAGGGGGTTGAGTGAAGAAATAGTTTCACATAAACATATTTTTAAAATGTATTTTTACCTGTTGGTGTCAGACTTCATTTCCAGGTGTCCTTACCTTGGCCCCATGTACATACAGCATTCTTTGATGCAATGACATGCTATCATTGGTAACTACCTATAGGCACCATGAATGTCTGAGACAACTGTACATCCTATATGTAAAACTCTGAAATCTGAAAAATCAGGTGTTGGAGATACCCTGCAGAAAGGAGCATATGATGTTGTTATTATTTCTCTGACACTTAAGCTTTCCCTTACTTTTTTCAACCCATGTCCTCAGACAAGGATTCAACCCACAGTTCGGCGTTCTGGATTCTCTGCAATTTCACACTTTCTTTTTGGACCCCCAAGGCTTAACCGAGAACTTCATGCGGAGCGTGATTTGGTGCTGGCAATAGCACAGTGTGAGTAATATGCAGCGATTACAGGACTAATAAAATATGAAGGGCTTTTGGGTATTGGTGGTAGAGATGCGTATTGTACAGTACTCCTGGTGTCTCTACTCAGGTCCCCTGGACTGTGGTCAGCAAGTTCACATCAGAGTCCTACAGACCATTTACAAAAGGCTGACAGGAGCCCGGTTTGACTGCCCTGTGTATGGATCACATTGGGAGCAACTGGGATTCCAAGGTGAGTTGTAATAGAGGAAAGGTTCTTTAGACAATGCATTGACCATTTGGTGTTCCTTAAAATGCAGTACCTCTTCTCTCTTTTTACATATTCTCTATTCCTGTATGATACATATTTGACGGCTAATCTTTCCAGCTGTTCTCCTTGATTACACAGCTGTAAATACTTGTTCTGTTTTGCTTGTGTTAGGCTGTTTTTCATTATGCCATTTTACATTCTCCATTTCTGCAGGTCTAGATCCTGGAACAGATTTAAGAGCAGCTGGACTCCTGGGTCTAATGCACCCACTGTACATGGTAATGGAACCCAGAACCTTACCCCTCGCACATGATATTTACCGTTTGTCACAGCATCACACACAGGTTCGTTTTCACATACCACGTCAATAGATATGCATGCTTGTATGTATATACCAGTGGCTTGGCTTATTTTATATATGTGTGTCCTATTCCTCCTGTCTGGCAATTTAAACTGTTAACTGGTACTAAAAGTCTAATGATCCATGTTGAAATCTAGCACTTTAGTAATCATCACTATGTATTCCTCATGCTGTTAAGATTATCCATGCCCTGGCAATCCTGATAATCTGACAGTCCAATGCCTCCTTACAAGGAAGGATTGGGAGCCTAGTACCCATGCATAGCAAATCATCACACGGCACCAATCCTTATAGAGATGCAGTGATTCATTGTATATCTGTGGGAAGTGTTTAGCATGTCCATGCAGAGCTTGGAAATGACAAACTTGGGACCTGCTGTCTTGCAGGATCGAACCCAGAAAGTGCCTTTAGTGGCAGTCCAAGTGACAGCTATTAGAGGGTGTCCTTGGAAGCAGAGTCAGCATTGCAGCATGTAGCCTGCTGAGGCTTTGTTGACATTCTATTTGCCCCAGTTCCACTACATTAAGCACTAGTCCCTTTAAACTTGGAAGAAAACAGAAAAAAATACAATGAATGTCTCACTAGATCTCACTGCACCTCACAAGCCAAGTTATCTCTGCTAATGGGTTAAGACATGCAAGAAGAAGAAAATGCATATAATGTATAAATTACAGTTTCCTCTCAATTTCCAAGGAAAATCCTCCTCTGTCTCCCTGTTAAAATCACAGCTGATCAGTATTTTAATCTTTTTTTTTTTTAATCTTATGCAATCTGTACTATTCTGTAGTTTGTTTATAATTTCAAAAATATACCCCTCTGATATCACAATCTTTAAAACAGAAATACATATTCACAAGAGATACCCTGTGTCATTTATTTGTTTTTGTAAAAGAAAACAATATCATAAAACAAGAAGTAAAATTATTTTGAGTGCACCCCTCGCCTCGTAAGAGGTGCATATTTCAGGATGATCTTTATGCACCAACTGTAGAGTGATTAGCAAACCTACTTTTGAAGACTGACAACCACAATTTTGTGAATCAGTTCCAACAATTCCTGGGTTTGGACTGTGCCATTTGCATGTTTCTAACTCAAGTTTTACTGAATAAAATGTCACACACTCTCTCAAACAATCCACTTGTGAAATTATTATTTTGAGTCCTTTTCTTTGCATTGATCTTTGCACCTACGTGTGTATGTGCAGTTTTATTACTCCACTTGCCATCATTTTATCCACAGAACTTTCCTTTCTGTATAATGTCAATCAATATCACCAGAATCTGCATCCAGGCTTTGAGAGAAGAGCGGGTATCTCGGTAAGTGGCAGTCTGTGTGAGGCTTTAGTCTGTACTTTATTCCTCATTTATTTATTTACATATTTATCTTTTGTTGTTGTTGTATGTGCATTAGTACTAACTCCATCTTCCTATTACTCTGTGGTAGGGAATGTAATCGCAGACAACAAGTCTTTGCTGTGCTTAATGATTTTTATGTGGCCGTTTTTTACCACCTCTACCACATGTGGAAAACACAGAACAAAACTATCAGTGACTCCGGTTTTGTCCTCAAAGGTAAATGTAGAGTTATATTCCTGTCTGTATTGCCTGGCTGCAAGCCTGACCTTTAATAAATGGGGAAAAATATAACTGGGTGTAAGAATAAGATAAGGAATTTCCTGGGGGTAGGCACTGGATGTTTTTATATCCATTTATAATATAAGGGCATCAACTGGGTTAATAATACATTCATTTCAGGATCCTTCTAAAGAAATATTACCATATTTAATCACTTTTTTATTTTACTTTTTTAAATAAAAATATTGTGCCAGTGCTCAGACCGTATACCTGCACATACATGTGTGTGCACAATATGTAAAACATGATATACCCATTAGGCAGATTATGTTTTCAAATATTATACTGCAGGATACTGATGTCATTTGTGAAATCTATTCCCAGTAATGAACTGAATATAATACAGCGCTCACCTGTGCTGATCAGTGGAGTCTATTTTTGGGTAGAAACCAGACATAAGTATTTCAGTCTGCCTGACATTAGATGGAGTTGCACTCTTGACATTTTTATTCAACTTAAGCCAATATTGACTTAATGGTGTCAGCAGAAATAGCTGTCGCCGGGAACTGCAACTCCCACTAATCTGAGGCAGCAACAGGACACGTATCCCAGTGCTAACGATCAGTAAACATTGCCTCTTATTCTACACTTCACTACTTTAGCACACTAACTCTATTAAATCATATATAGCTTCCAGTGGAAAGTTTTGTTGTTTTTCTTTTTTTTTTTTTCTTTCTAAGAGATCGATGGAAATAATTTGAACTCTGCCTTTCAATCCTTTGCCAAACCTCGGTAATATGAGACGCAGGTTCTAAAGATAAATTATGACTGTTTAATTTTGGTTGATTATTTTACGAAAAACGTGACAATACAATGAATATATTTAATCTTTCAGATATTTATACATGTCATCAGACCTCTTAGTTTCAGATTCCGCTAGTGGTAGTGAAGAGACACGTTTATTTATGTATTTGCTACTGCTTTTTAAAATTTGTTCTCACATTATATAATTTACTTTTCTATGTAACATTTCATTACTTATGCCTGCAGAAGTTGAATCTTTGGCCAAGAGAAAGCCGAAAGAACTACTGCGCCAGCTGGAATTCCACCTGAAAGAACGTCCTCTGCCAAAAGATCTACCTCCTGAGATTTGGTCCCAGTACTCCACAGCACCAGGCAGCCCCAATCATGGAGGTAGCTACAGGCACAGTGAAGAGGGAATTTGCTTCACTGGAGTCTGTGAGCAACAAGTACAAGAAGATCGGCTCATATAGGATCACATTTGTAAATGAATGGAAAGTGCACACAGAGAGTACAGATGGTATAATTCTAACCACAGAGTACCCATTGCTGGAATTGCTCTGTCTCCATCACAATGTCTCCAAGCTAGACTGTAGCGTGTAGACTGTAGAGCAGGTTGATCCTAAGAGACACATCCTAATCTGCTGGTCAAGCATGAGACATGATGAACAGGTAGGAAACATGAGTAAGAGGTGCAAGGTCTTTATAAACAACAAAAACAACAAGCTTTGATCTGGAATCAAATACCAGATAGGTAGAGACTAGTACACGTAGCAAGGGTGCAATCTGCATGTTTTCAAATCTGGAAGCAGGTATCATGTGATCCAAACAAATATGAAGTGTAGTAAACTTGCTTTAATGCAGTGTGTAGTCTGCACAGTAAGCCTGGTGTTCCCCGGGTAATCCAAAAGAAAACCCTTAGATATGCAGAAAAGGTTGTCCTATATGTGGAGCCTTCTAGTGAAATAGTCAAGTTATGAGGTGGGAATTTATGAAGACAAAAAATAACAAACACTTGTTAATGTTTCAGTTACTCACGGTCCAGTTTGTAAAGAAGCTGGTCACAGCCTCAGAACATGGATTATTCAAAGATTCAGCTATTTTGCTTTATCCAGTGCTTCTGATGCAGAATTCTCTTACGAATTGAGCCTTCTGGTCTTTGAGTAATTATGGGTTGATCTAATTGCTTCTCCTACTTTTTAATGTTCATAGATTATTCAAAGTAACAAGTTTGAAGGCTATACAGCTGGAAGTCTGGCTTCCATTTTTCACAATCTCACAAGTTAAAACACTGGTCTGTTGGTTAAAACATCCTTGTTGATTTAGTGGAATGTAACTAGTACAATGTTTTTGTTTTGGGATATATATATTTTTTTTATATTTAGAGGCACTTTTAAGATAGGCATATACACAACTTTCTACTAAAAGGAAAGCGAAAACCCCGGTTCCAGAGGTACACTCAATAGGAAAATTTCCTTTATGATAAATATACATTTTATTGTTAAGTGAAAAAGTGTGCAAAACTCACTTTATCTGTTTATTGTGCCAACAGAATTTTAAAGTCGCATATAGATCACAAATAAAACGAAGCATTTGTGCAATGTTCACACCATGTGACATAACGCTGTGGCCTCATGCAGATTTCCTGCTAAATCTATTCCACATGGAGCTTCACCAGCTATTAAAACTCTTTTTGTCATGTTCTGCAATAGGGAGAGCTATTTAGAACATATATACCCCAACACCAATCACCTGACAGATACCAGCTAAACTGTCGCAATAAAATGTTCCTTCCCTAACCCTTCTCTCTGAGGGATTACATATAATGTAGCTCAAATGCCCTCCATATGATAATGAGAAAGGTGGTCCGTCCTTAACCCTTTAGATGTGCTATAATGACTGCTCACCCATTAAAGGGGTAAAGCATCATGTTTGATAGGCTATTGCATTGTTGATAAACCCAGATGGAATTAAAGTTTGATAGATTGTTTTGATGTTTATGATGTATATTGCATGTATGAGGCTATTTCCCCAGCCTGCAGCCATCACTATATGGTTATTGCAGGGAGTGTAAGCCATCAATGCAATGCCCATTTTTTAGGTTTGTAGTCAGTTTGAATGTCAACAAATCTTCTCTGAATGTATATTTCAAAAACCCCATTAAGTGCCCTCTTTGCACTCCACTAATTGTAGTGGTAACATTTTATATTGCACTGTTTTCAATGCCTACATACAATTGTTTCAGTACAGAGTAACAACTATGTTGACCCATTCTCTCACATCTTGTGACTGCAAGAGTTCTTGCTTCCCCCTTTGTTGATCTTTTTAACCTATGTTCCCTGTCCCTTCTCCTCCTTTTGTTATAGCGGTTTGTTTAGTTTATTTAAATTTTTTTTAACCTATTTTACATTCCCCTTGTCTCCTTGTACGATTATTTCCTTTCTGCCATCCTGTGTGAGAGTGTATATCCACTTCCTACACTACAAATTCATGATGCATTGCCAAATAAGGGTATTTCACCTCCTGCGTTAGCTCTATTACAATCTCTCTGAACACTCAACTAATCCAAGTTACTTTTAGTGACAAGAATTCTCCCCACTTGCCTACCACACATCTCAATTTTAACATTTTCTAATTCTGCTCCCAGTCACTTACCAGTAGGTCTCTGCACTTCAACTCATGCCCCTTTATCTATCTAACCTATCTATTCAATTTATTCCAGCCATCTTAAATCAGGTGTCTATAGAAAAAAAAAGAAAAAAACAGAGCCTAAATGGAGGTATGAGACAGAGTAGTAGTAAAAAAAAATTGTGGGTTAACCCCTAAATGGCTAGTGTAAATGGGGGAAAAAAGGAAAAAAACTACCAATAGGTGTCTCAACATAGAATCATAATCAATATTGTCACAGTAGAATTGAACTTAAAACGTAACTTTTAAGTATACTAAACTAGACACATAGAATAATAATAGTAAAAACAGAAAGCACAAGGCTAAATTATGTCCTGTTGTCTAGCTAGAGCTAACACTGAACTCTCAAATAGCAAATATCGCAGAGAGAGTGGTAGTGAAAAAAGATACTTAATAAATCATAATATAACAGTTGCTACAAAATAATACACAAAAAATGAGAATGAGGTGCCTATAGCACAGGAGGGTTCAGAGACAGTGAGAGTGAACCGCTAGAATTAGTATTTAACGATTAATGCAAGTATATAGAGTGTCACAAACCTAGCGCTGGCTAATTGTTACAAATCTAAGTGCCTTCGAGGGCACCCCTTATCAAATGCCTACACTGCCTCTCTGAGCACCCCATAGTTAGCAAAAGGTTGTAAATTTGTTGTCACATCACTGTCGTGGGTTTTTAAGCTGGCATTCCCTTCGGACAGTATCTAAGAGCAAAGAGGAATTGTTCTAGCGAGGAAACTTTTTTTACAGGAAGCTAATACACTTAGAACACGCTTTAAAGAACATGGATACCCTAACAGGATCCTTAAACAAGCATTCCAGCGTGTTTCACTTGTGGATCGAGCCACCTGTCTTAGAAATCAAAAAAGCCAACCCAAAAAACATATTACAATATGTATTGGGACTTCTGACCAGTTTTGGGACCCTATCCGCAAGATCTTTACAGAAAATTGGCCCATACTTACCCACGACAGTGATGTGGCAACAAATTTACAACCTTTTCCGAGCATTACACCATGGAGAGCCACCAATTTACGCGACTTACTTGTCCACAGCCACTTGAAGCCTCAACAAGCACCTCTAACCTGGCTACAATCATCCAAAGGGATGTTTAAATGTGGACACTGTAAAGCTTGCAAATATATCTTGCCATTCAAAACAATAGTATGCACTAATACCAAAACCACATATACAATCAAAGAATGTCATCACTTGTAGCTGCAAACTACAATATGTGGGAAAAATCTACCAGGAGTTCCATAGGCGAGTGCTACAACATGTCAACTCTGTGACAAATTCTAACATCTCTACACCAGTTGCAAATCACGTAAGAAATTTTCATAATACTGATCCTACCAATTTGAATTTTCAAATTTTGCAACACATCCATCTTAACACAAGAAAAGGTAACTTCAACCTTATACTATTGAAGAAAGAATCTAGATGGATACATCAATTCAAAACACTGGCTCCTTACGGGCTTAATGAGGAGTTTAATTTCACTCCCTTCATCCATAATTCAACATGATATTAATTCAGGTTGCACCAACAAGGTATATTGGGGGCAGACAACATGGTGAACCACTAGAGTTCCCAGTTATCAATAACAGACCAGTTCTAGAACTGTTCCTTTAAGTCCTGTTACTCATATTCTGATTGCCACTTATACAGTACAAAATTAACGGACAGATTGCTCATATTAGTAGCATTTTAATAACTAGTCTATGACTAGTCCCTCTTTTCAAATACGGACTAACTTCAGAAAATACTCTTCAACAATCAATAACTAATCTGTTAGGACAACACATCTAAATATGTTATTAATTTTTTTAGTCCATTTATTTCCCTTATGTTAATTCCCTACATAGGTCATTTGTAGTATATTCTTTTTATTTAATCTCTGATACTAACAATAATTGGATTTGTTTCTCACCCATGTTCTATGAGATCTGAAACATTAGTAGAAACATAAGTTTTTCCTTTTATAGTCTTAATGCATTATAGTATTCCTACTATATGCAATATTCGTGACCTTATCCCCATGGACAGCATGCACTAAATACTATCCATAAGATCTGCATTAGTAATTCATTCTGATGTCAGCCAGTATTCCCTGGCTGTAATACTGATACAGAACATTCAACAGACGACCCAATCATTTTCTACTTTTTTCCTTTAACTGATTCCCAATATTATACACCGATCTTCAGTGATCTCGGCTTTTTTTTATGTATTTGTAAGAAGTCACATTCTTCGTATTACAAGATATAGTCACACTTATACAGTTAAGTATCTTTAGGGTTAAAATTAGTAGAAAGAAAGCTTAAACCCTCCCCCTTATCCTCATTGGTCACCCTAACACATAAATACTGATACCTACCTGTCTTCAGTTCCCCTCTGATGAGTAACCCAGACGAAACACGCCTGTCAGGGGCTCTGGACGCTTAGTCGGCTATACTTCTGCTGTTGCACTAACACAGCCGCAATCTCGCTAGCTACAATTGCTCCTTAATCTAGGCGTTCTTTTTGGTAGTCCTGTTTTCTACTTATTTGCTAACTATGGGGTGCTCAGAGAGGCAGTGTAGGCATTTGATAAGGGGTGCCCTCGAAGGCACTTAGATTTGTAACAATTAGCCAGCGCTAGGTTTGTGACACTCTATATACTTGCATTGATCATTACATACTTATTCTAGCGGTTCACTCTCACTGTCTCTGAACCCTCCTGTGCTATAGGCACCTCATTATCACTTTTTGTGTATTATTGTTTTATTTCTCTAACCACACTGGTGTGCTATATAGCAATTTGATATTTAGAGCACAGGAGGCATTCCTCTCATATCGAGAAGACTCATTACTGCAGGAGAGTCTATAGAATAGATGCACCCTGTGCTCCCTTCTGTTACTTTTTGCTACACATTTTGTAGCAACTGTTCTATTATGATTTATTGAGTATCTATTTTCACTACCACTCTCTCTGCGATATTTGCTATTTGAGAGTTCAGTGTTAGCTCTAGCTAGACAATAGGACATAATTTAGCCTTGTGCTTTCTGTTTTTACTATTATTCTTCTATGTGTCTATTTTAGTATACTTATTAAAAGTTAAGTTTTAAGTTCATTTCTACTGTGACAATATTGATTATGATTCTATAGTGAGACACCTATTGGTAGTTTTTTTCCCTTTAAATCAGGTGTCCGCTCTGTGAAATGGTCCTAACCAGAGTCACTAACAATTTAATTACTTAACCAAAAAGGTTTGTTTGTTTTCTTTCCGTTTTTTTTTTTTTCTTCTCCTTCAACTTTCTGCTACTTTTGTTCAAATTCATTTGGTTTTCATCATACCTCTCTCCATGTTACTTTAGTGTTTCCTTTTTGGGGGCAACCTTCTAACCACTAACTGTTTTATTGGAACCCCCCTTCCCCACCGTCCTCCTATATGCTGATACCACTCTCTGATCTCTTTTTCACCCCCTGGTACATTTCACTAACTGTCTAAGAGAATGACTCTTCCTGAAACACATTCTTTCTAAAATTGAGCTTCTTATCTTTCCTCCTTTTCATAGGAACAATTCTTTATCACTCCCCTCCAGTCTATTAACTCAAACCATCAAAGCTTACTGCTGTGGTGTTATTTTTTTATTCGATTTATTTATTTGCCGTTTTATATCCTCATTGTAAAGCACTGTGGAGTGCTGTATAAATGATGATGGTGACTGATTATTTTTCATGGTCACGCAGAGGTGTGGATCACATCCAAGTGTTCTTTTATTGGTTTTGGAGTACATATTGAATAGTTTAATTAATCTTTGATTACAGTAAAAGTACCATTTACACATTCAAGTACTCCTTGTTCACCTCTGCAATCACTGGTGATCTGAATTATTCAAAGTGGGGTAGTCACCATGGAAACTAGTGGCACATTCCACTGGTGAGGGTGACTCCTCTTCTCATATTTATATGAACCATTTTTAGAACAGAACACTTTGATAAATCTTCTCATTTTTAAAATGTATTTTTAGTTATTTTTTTTTAATAAATATATATATAAAATACATTTTGGGACAGAATAGCTGAATTAGACATTATCTCCAGATGTTACACTTTACAGAACAGTAGCCAACTCCTTACAGCTCAGTTGTTTTTTTTAACTTTGCGTTCACGTGGTCTACAATCCTCATAAAGTCAAGCAGCTAGCAATGATATATTTTAAAGGAACACTCACTGCAGTAGTTATGGTGCCAGTTAGTGTTCTGGTGCCCCTCTCCTCCCCCCCAAGGTAAGCTTACCTGGGGTCTGCCCAACAAGCTAGCTAAGTACAGCATGGGATAGATTTGGAAGAATACAAGTTTCTGCTTAGTATCGGATGGCTTTCCAGTGCTTGTTGTGTAAATGGGGGTGTGGAAACGGACACTCTTGGCACTCATTTCTAAAACTGTGTGCGACAATGGTTATTCATTAAACTGTATTTCATCTTGCAATATTATTCCATCAGCTTAAAGATGTAAATGTGAGGTGTGTGAAATATATATTTCACGTACTTCCTTAAAGTATAGTATATGTTCCCAGAATGTAATGAGTAGCTAGCACTCTAGTTAGCACAATGTGCAGAATGTTTTATTGCCTTATGTTTATGGATGAAGGGTATAGTAACATTGTTATCTACAGTTCTTTCCATTTGCACTTCTTGTAGTTTAGAGACATAATTGATTTATGTAGCTAATGTTTGTTATGAAAATGTAATGTTTTGTGTGTATGATATTTCTTGTGAAATTACAGTGCATGCCCTATTGAAGAACACAGAGTCAGTGCAACCTGTTTTGATATTTGTACCTTGTGACAAAGCAGGATTTTTCTAAAAAGACTGTGCTACCTTTGCCAGGAGGTTATTAAGTACACTCCTCATGCTTTAAGGAAAATTATACTATCCTACTTTGAACAGTCTTCCAGTGTTTCAATAATAACCAGTTTATCATACATCTAATGAATTTAAATATGTGATAAACTCTCTCCACTGATCGGTGTTCAGTGTGTTTTATGGGGACTTTTCTCTAGTACTACCAGAACAGCACTAGAAGAACCGAGACAAACCCGGGACATTGCTAGAGGGGTCTAAAATTGGAGCTGCCTTGTTGGATGCAAGGGAATTATGACTCTTTAAACTAAATGCTCAGATCCACTGCCATATACCTTCTACCTGGATATTGGATTAGAAATCTGGAAAGGCAAAAAAAAGGTCCTGCATAATTTACATGAAAGTCTGGGAGAGTTATGGTAATGCAATCTTCTAGAATTTCTCGAATAAGTTCTTATTGTGTGTGTAATATGTGTATTTTTTTTATTTATTTATTTTTTGCTACCATGTGCTGCAGCAGATTACAAAATTTACAGTAATCCATTTATTGTGCTCTGTTGATCTCATAAACCAACTGACATGGAGGCTTTCATGAGTTCAAAATTTCTTCCAATTCTGTTTTTGTGTATGTATGTTATTAGAGTTATCTTGTATAGCTGAGAATGTTAAATAGATGACATTCAATAAATGGGTATATCTATCTAGAGCTAGAACTCCTTGGTAATGTATCCATTATTGTAGCGGATACATGGGATTATCCTAGAAGAACCATTGGGATGTCTCAATATATGTGTAAAAGTTCCATAGGGTTAATGCCAACAGACAGAATAATCATCATGGGAAAACACAGATTGCAAAGCATAGTCCTAAATCTAAGTGCTATAATATGTATGGCTCGATGACTTGAATCTATGTAGCATGAATTGCAAAAGGCGCTGTATTTTAATATAGTGAATGCTTTATGGAGATTGTGTCGCTGTGTCATATGTGAATGTGTAGTGATAAAAGTGCATATTTTATTTTGTACGTGAAGCGAAAATATGACCGTTTTATTCTTAGCTTTCTAATTCTATGATTGTGTATGTAAAAAAGGCACAGAGATGTATATGTAAATATATATTTTACATTTTGCTTGTTAGTCTTTTCTTTGGTAATGCTTACAATTCAGAATGAGAGATTAGATATTTTTTTTAATTATTTCAATGTGTTATTATTTATTGTAATTCATTAAAGATGTTTAAAATAAAGTTTCCATAAAGAGTAGTAAAACCTTGACTCCCAGCAATATCAGAAAAACTATCACGAAACCAGGAAATTTTGTTACAAGGGGAAGGTAAATCCTGGCTGGGATATGGCCTGTTCATGCGCGCTATCCACAGGTTAAGAGGTCAATTTCCCTCAAAGGGTTGCACTAAGTTCCTGAAAGATTAAAGGGGCACTATAGTCACCTGAACAACTTCAGCTTAATGAGGTTGTTCAGGTGAGAACTATAGCTCCCTGCAGCCTTTCTCATGTAAACACTGTATTTTCTGAGAAAATACAGTGTTTACAATGAAAGCTAGGAACACCTCCAGTTGCAGTCACTCACAGTGAACCAGAGGGACTTCGGAGTTGATGGAAGCATAATATGCCTCCATCCACTCAGATCTGCTGTGCACGAGCATCCTGTGATTCAGTATCTCCTCCCACTGCATGCAGACACTGAACTTTCCTCATAGAGATTCACTGATTCAATTCATCTCTATGAGGAGATGCTGATTGGCCAGGGCTGTGTTTGAATCATGCTGGCTCTGCCCCTGATCTGCCTCTTTGTCACTCTCAGCCAATCCTATGGGGAAGCACTGTGATTGGATCAGGCTATCACATGTCAGCAGACTGCTTGTTTTTCCTGAGTCTAACAGCATGCAGATTTACAGCGTCTGGCTTGAATACAGTAAGATTTTTACTATATTAATGGAGGCATGAGGGGCTTAGGGGGGCTAGATGGTCGTGTTAACACTATAGGGTCTGGAATACATGTTGCACTGGTGACTATAGTGTCCCTTTAATACAAACAGCAAGTGTGGAAACCTTGTGAAGGGAGAATGGATCTTGCATCTCATAAATGGAGCCATTTTATGTGCTTGTAAACAAAGTAAAAACCGATAAAACCCCATTTAGAGGTAAAGGAAGTGGACTGAATTTAGTGAGGATTGTTGGGAGAAAGTCACATAAAAGATCCTTGTCTCCACTTTCTTCTGAAATGTGGAATGGTCCTCACTTGCTCTAAATGTTTGAAAGTTCACCGTCCAATAGCCTCACCTTCTGGTTTTATCATTACCGCCCCCTCCCCCCGTAAACTCCCTCTAGGCTTTTAGCATTAAGTGCAGAGAACAGACTCCTCCTGTACCAGTATGTCTTGTTATATTTGTAATGCTTCCCATATGCCAGCTTTGTTGTGTTCTTTAAAAAATTTTTTTTAAAAAAACACAATTTTAGTCAGAACTACAAATATAAGCAAAACACCAAATGAAGCAACACATGACTTGTACCAATCTCAATTGTCTTTCAATGAGCCCTTTAATGTAATGTCCATATGTGCTTTACAGTCTTAAAGGAGAGTTGGCATTTCCCCAGAGTTTGTAAATTATGTTTACATACCCCCTAGATTTGGCAAGTGTTACGTACGTGAAGTGTAAGTAATAAAATTAAACTTTATTCACCTGTTTCCTGGATCCATGTGCCTCCATCTTGGCTTCCTGTCAACCATGGTTATCACAGCTGTGCTTTTTTTGTGATTGAACAAAGTAAGGGTTGAATGAATATCCACTCATTAGTTAACCCATTCCCCTTTCAATAATCCATCCCACGTATCTACAGACACGATTAGCAAATGTTCCTCTTTGTAGTTTATCCTACACTTTTATTCCTGCTGTAAACACCCCTCCCTTGGTGTCTTGGTATCTGTTCTTTAGGCTGTGCCTGGACTGAACTGGATCTTTATTGTACGTTTAAAAATAAAAAAAATGAAGACTAGCACAAGTTATTGGTGATAATTCAGTGGTGTCATTTTCAGAAAAGTAATGCTTCATTTTTAGGGCCTTAGCATTTTTTCTTTTCTTTTCAAAAAGCCCCTTCCTCCCAATAGGCATATCCACGTGCATGGTGGCACAGGGAAGTAACAAGAAATAAAGTACATTTACATACTTTAAACTCACCATCATTACTTTTATTGCCTTTATGTTTTCAGCAAAATGAAATCTGTCACGTTAATGCTGTTGTGTAAAATGCACATGTACAAAATGGAAGAATGAAACCTCCATAGATTGTATCATGCTTGATTAATGAGATGCCTTAGGTATTTCTATCGATCGTTACAAGCTATGGCGGTTTGGGAAAGGGCCCAATTTGGCGAAGAAGTGCTACTTAAAATGTTGTCTTTTTGTCAAAAATGGTCTACTACCTTTCCATACATCAGACAGTAACATTAGTCACTATGTTTGACTGCATTGACGTTTTAATAAGATTCTAATGTGATACATATAATTTTCATTTAGATTCTATCTTTTAACCTAAAAAGGGAGGGGGAGGGTGAAGGACTGCCCTCATATTTAACCAATAGGCACAATATCTACATTGGTGTTTTGCCAGGAATTGGAGGTGGTGTATCTCCCCAATATCCCATGAGTATATACACAAATAATCCAGGCACATGATACCTTCAAAGTGCAGACTCAGAGAATTTATCTTTGAAAAACTCAAAAGTTACAGTGGTTCAATGTCCAAGCAGAATTTTAGAAATGTGCATTTTTTAGATACATGATCCTCACTAGTGTACCAAATAGACACCCACTAATTAGATAATATTCTTATGGATTCTACTCTTGTTTCCTGGCATGTTTAAAACACCTTCTTACACATGCAGTTCTGGATGCTCACTTTAACTTCCAAGGAAAGGAACTGAAACTACTGTTTCAAGGTTTTTCTCGCTGAGCAATTTTTAATAGGGCTAGGGTGCAAAGGCATGCAACCCACAGTGTTGTCCTTCTCAAATCCATATCATATCATATTAGGAATACATGTGTTTAGGACTGGGTGTGAAGAACACACAATGCAATGTCTTCTGCCCAAATCTGCATCAAAGAGTACAGGCGCCCTGGAGATTGATGATTGTGACCAGCTATTTCAGTAAATGTAATGCTGGGGTATGATCCCATTAGCTGTAAATTTGTCTTCCATAATGTACTTCATATACGCAAAATACACTTTATTTCGCTATGACGTTTTATATAGCATGCACATGATGCCAGAACAGGAAAGATTGCAATGGGTGCACGTTCTTATATACACATTTATAGGCACGCTCTGTGTATTTGTCCTAACATGACTTCTCCATGCCCCTAAGGACCACAATCTCCTCTTGAAAGTGAAGTCCAGCTTTCAAGGAATGCTTTGTATAGATAGCCCACAAGTTCTTATCTGCCTGTAAGACTCATTAGTGGTTTGACCCAAACTCTAATTTCCTGTTTTCACTGCTATTATCATTAAGTTTACCTTGACCTTCATTTTTATTATCGATCTCTGTTCTCCTCTACAGACTCATAGCAGTCAGTGCCTGTTTATGCACATAACATATAGTTTTAAGATGCTCAAGTGTACCAAACCAGCAGGAATGTCTTCCAGTTCTTGGGATGTCTGGGATTTGGAAAATGGATTTCCTGTTAGGGAACAATAGCTTTATTCAATTTGTTCACGGCAGCTACTACCTTAAATCTTTTTACAGAAGTGCTTTTGATATTTTCAGTAATACTTTCCAATAACTAATAACGTAACATTCACTTCACCGCCACTGCAGTCTGTAATGAGAAAAAATAAAAATCTGAATGTAGTCCATGAAAATGTCTAAGAAGAAATACCATCCTTGAATTTATATTTTGTCAACTGCCCACTAAATAAACAGCAAAATCCTTAATGTTAACCTCTTAGACTGCTGATTCTTGCTGTTTCTAGATTTGCCCACCGTGAAAAAATTTGGTTCGGCCGAATTGATTTATTAAAAAAAAAATTTGGTTTTGGGAAAGTCACATCTCAGTTCAGACGACTTTCATCCATGCTGTCTTTTTAGGAAAAATGATTTGAACATACCAAACAGGAGCAAAAATTGGCCAATCAGTGTACTAAAAAAAATATTATGTATATAATTTGCAGTCGACTGATAGGCACAATTTTCAGTTAGATCCAGATCGAAAGAGAAAAAGTAACCAATAAAGGCAAAAAGGAGTATTAGAAAATCTCTCTATATATGTAGAAATATTGAAATACTGATTTCTTTTATTATTTATATATTTTTTACTGCTGCTCCTCCCCCCTCTATTGGTCTAATCTCATTTGGTCTTTGAATAAAATCAACATTTAGTGGCTGTCCCCTAAGCATCAATCTTAAAGCAATGTTTCAGCTCCCTACTCGAGCCATAATTTTTTTTGTGTGCACATTATAACAGACAAGCTTACAGTGTCACGACAGCACGCTGAGAAAAACATAGGCATGACATGTGAGATGACTGCACATTTTTAAAAAGTTTAAAGGATCACTATAGGCACCCAGACCACTTCAGCTTAATAAAGTGGTCTGGGTGCCTGGTCCATCTAGGGTTAACCCTTTCTGCTGTAAACATAGCAGTTTCAGAGAAACTTCTATGTTTACCTATGGGTTAATCCAGCCTCTAGTGGCTGTCTCATTGACAGCCGCTAGAGGCGCTTCCGCACTTCTCACTGTGATTTTCAGCTGATGACGGAAGAAGAGGGAGGAGAGTCCCAGCGCCGAGGGAGCCCGGAGGGAAAAAAAAAAAGGTAAGGGATTAACCCCTTCCTCCCCCTTCAGTGCCACAGAAGTGGGACCATGAGAGTGGGGGCACCCTAAAGGCACTATAGTGCCAGGAAAAAGAGTATGTTGTCCTGGCACTATAGTGGTCCTTTAAGGAACATGTGTTACGAAGCTAGGCGTGCTATATACAGTCATCCGAGTTTGAGAGTTACATCTATGCTTCCTATATGGCGGAACTTTTCAGACAGGGCAGTATTGAGAGGTGTAAAATATGCTAAACAAGATTATTGAGGCATATTCAAAACTAGAGTGCAAGATGTATGTAAAACCACAGCATTTGTGTTAATCCCTAGTGGTGAGATCAAAGAGGGTCTGTGGCAGAGAGGCTGCAACGTATTAGTAAGCAAATAGTGCTCTTCAGGATAAATTCCAGTCCCAGGAGCTGTTCATGCTGTTCACCCCACGCCATCTCCAGTGGCTCAGGCCCTTTCCCGGGTTGAGGCTGGGAAAGGGCCTGAGCAGAGTGTCACTTAGTCGTGTGGGAGCCGCAGCGTTCTGTTTGCCGGCTCTTTGAACTCGAGTGAGTGAGTATTGCTGAACTCCGCATCTTCCACCCCGCATCAGCTGCTAGGCCGCAAGTCGGACCTGCCTCGGCGATTGCGTGCGGAGAGTCCATGATGCCCCAGCCCTGTTCCCACTGAGAGCTCTGTGAGTTACCCATGTAGCTTGGCCGTGTTGCGGAAAATAAGGCTGAAAGTCGGCCATTCGATCAGAGTTCCATATGGCGGTCAAGCTCCTTCCCCCATCAAGCCATATATTTTATTAATTGCTTTAAGCTTTAATAAAGACTGCTCACCATAACCTCAGGCAGCTTTCTCATATTGAACTATTGCCTTTGGGTCTCCACAAAACGCAATTTGGTATTTATTGACATGTGCATCCCCTTCCTGGAACTAAGCGTCAATCTTTTTTGGGGGGAGGACCAAGAATGGAATTCCAAATCACAACATAAATTAACGTTTTGTCCTGTTTTTGTCTGCTTTGTCATTTGACCATTAGCCATTTCAGAGTTTGGAAAACGGCCATGTCTTTGATCCCTGTGAGGACTCCATGCATTATAGCCAATTCAATTAGATTAAATAGTTATTACATTGCAGGACTAAGGGGGGCAGGGACATTGCACCCAGTCACCTTCAGACCACTTTATAAAATGCATTGTAAAAAAAATGCATTGAAAAATAATGCAACCAGTTACCTGTAGTGTACAGAATCTATGTGTGGGTGGCACAGATCTATTTTCAATATGGTTCTATCCTAAGAGTAAAATTATTGGGGTTATGTTATCAGCCAGGTCCCTTCAACCTTTATGACTGTTTACAGTGGCTTCCCTTAATGTT